GGGGGGGGTGGGGGGGGGGGGAAGCATGGCAAACCACAACTGAAACAGAGCGAAAAAGAATAATCAGACGCTTGCTGCATCGATGGCATCCTGATAGAAACAGCACTCAAAGAAATTATGCAGAACGAGTCTTTAATTACATAAATCAGATCGTTTTAAAACTAGAGAAAAATGAGACCATTGATGACACTGTAAATGATGACACAGGGAGGACAAGACCAGATATGTCTGGTTCATCATTTGGAGCAGAAATTTTATCTGCTTTTTCACGCGGTCAAATGTATGCTGCAGCATTTCGTGATAATATGCAAGAATACAACAGATCAACTCGAACCGGTAATTATTCTCACTCTCGAGCAGAAAAGGCTAGTGTTCGTCATATTGGTGAAGCAAAACGCTGGTATCGGCAAGCAATGTTTGATTTTATGGCGGCTGAGAATAATGTAGTCACAGGGGACAAAGACAAAAGTTTTAATTGGGTGTGTTATAAATGCCACCAGGTCAGTTTTTGTTTAATTTTGATTGTCAATATAATTCTCTTTTTTATGGTATAACAAATGTAAATGTTACTTCAAGACCAAAACTGTCGCAAACATTTGAGACTAATCAGCATATCGGTCACTACGGGGAATCAGACTTTATTAACTTTAACTGCAATTCAAACTGCTTTATTATTTTCATGCCCCAAATGACGGCATATTGTGATTGCACTGTCCATCCGCCGGTAATCTTTTCAGCGCTGCATCTCCAAAACCACTAGGGGAAATTCAGTAAAACTTCACAGGAGTTATCAGTACCATCACTAGTTGTGCATTTCACTGCACGTTTTGCTCAGTTACACAAAATGGCCGCCAGAGCAATATATTGGAAAATCTTGTCTGCGCTTTATCTCCAAAGCCGCTGGGGGGGGGGGAAACTCAGTAAAAACAAAGAAGTGATCAGACACATCTCTAAATGTGCATATGGCCTGCACGTTCCGCTCCACAGCACAAAATGGCCGCCAGAGCTATAAATAGAAAAAAATGTCCGTGCTTCATATCCAAAACCGCTAGGTGAAATTCAGTGAAACTTTGCAAGAGTGATCAGTACCATTCCTAGTTGTGCATATCGCAGGCAAGTTCTGCTCCGTTGCACAAAAAAATAGCGGCCAGAGCTATAAATAGTTACATCTTTTTTTAGTTAACTTTGTTTAGAATATTTTCCTACACTTCTAATGGAATAAGTGAAATTTTGGAATAATATTATCAAAGGGGGTCGGGTGTATATAACCGGTATTGTGGCATATATTGTGGATCTTATATCAAAGCTTCCTTTCGGGGGCATAAGTCACTCTTTTTCTATAGCTCACCTGTCACAAAAAGACTAGGTGAGCTTTTGTGATCAAAATTCATCCGGCGTCCGTCCATCCGTCGTCTGTTCGTCCGTAAACTTTAAACGACATCTCGTCATAAACTACTTTGCTAATTCATCCAAACTTCACAGGAATGTTCCTTTGGTGGGCACCTTAAAATTTGTTCAAAGAATTTAATTCCATGCAGAACTGTGGTTGTGATGGCAACCGAAAGATGAAACTTTAAAAAATCTTCTTTTAAAAAGCTTAAAGAGCTAGAGCTTGAAACATCTTCTAGTAAGTGGCTACCAAGTTTTTTTCAAATTAAAGCCCAATGTTCAAAATTGGCACCGCCCGGGGTTGTCATTGATTTTTCTTATATATATATATATATATATCCAAAATGTAAAGTTTAAAACAATACGGATAAAAATAGCGGGAAAAAAAGAATGAAGTGATGCCTTTTCCAGTTTACATTGCAATTGTTTATTAACAAAACTGTAATAAATAATTGAAGAGAAATATCAACCGGTTTCACCCGTTAAAGGGATCTTCAAGATAATGACGTTAATAACGTCGCTTGGTAACGACGTCAAAACAGTGTAAAGGGACGTTACTCTTATAACGTTTTAAAGGGACATAATAATAAGCTATAATATTATTGTTATATATATATCAAAGTTATTTTGAATTCAATTCTGGTTTAAGAACGTTTATTAAAACAGTTTCTTTCATTCTTCTTTTGAATGTGTCTGGTTCTCGCATTTTATAGATTGGCATTATATTAAACTTTGGAGTGATGTCTTTTGCGCAAATGGCAATGTGTCGACTGACTGGTAATAATGCATTGTCTGGATTTCGTATATGTTGGTTGTGTAATGTTACTCGATTTCTTAAATTTGAAGTTTCTCCAATATAATCTTTGGAACAACCATTACATTTCAATGCATAAATTACATTTCTAATGTCGCATGATCCTGAGAATTTTACTTTAAATTCGCGGCCATTCTTGAAATGGTATGTATTTCCTTCTATAATGTGTTTGCACAGGCCCGCATTTTAAACTGCTGCATCTTTTTATTTTATTCTTTCTCAGTGTTGAAGAAAATCGTGCCCTGGTCAAAAGTTTTTTCTAGATTAGCCGGTTGTCTTTTACTTTTAATTATATGGCTTCTGTCAATAATTCCTTTCATTATTTCATCATTTTTGTAATATTGGTAGATTTTCTTGTATTACTGTGAAAAATTCGGTATTCCTTGGATTATGTGTTGACACGTATGGTATAACTTTCTCGTCCGTCTTTAGTTTGTCTTCCGTAGTTCGGATTGTTCTATTGCTAAAGCTCTCTGGATGCCGTTTTCTATAAGTTTCTGAGGATATTTTAAAGAAGCCAGGAATTTGTTTAATTCATTTAATCTGAGATGTAATACGTCTCTATTTGATATAATTGTACAAAGTCGTCTAGCTAGTGAGAATGGGATGTTTTGTTTTGTGTGTTTTGGATGACAAGAGTTGAATAAAAGATATTGTTTACTGTCAGTAGGTTTATAGTAGATATCTGTTTCTATTTGGTCACCTTTTAATTTAACTAAAACATCCAGAAACGGCAATTTCTCTATATTGTTTTCCATTGTGAATTTTAAATCTTTATGAAGGTTATTCAGTAGAATGTTAAAGCAATTCAATTCGTGCTTAGATTTAGGCCATAAAATAAACACATCGTCTAGAAAGCGTTTCCAGTAATTGATGATATAAATTTTAAATTCGGTATTATAAATTTCTGCAATTTTGGGATAAAGCAGGTCCTCCTCCACATAGCCTAATACAAGTGTTGCATACACTGGAGCAAATTTTGTGCCCATGGCAGTGCCTTTTATTTGTCTGAAAAACTTATCATTAAAAAAGAATGTATTATCTTTAAGATGAATTCTGTGGCTGAAATGATGAAATTCTTTGTAAATCTAGTATGTATCACGTCCAAATGATTTTCAACCCAAAATTCTATTGATTTAAGGCCTAGTTCATGCGAAATGTTTGAGTATAAAGATTCAACATCAAAACTTGTTAAGATGATATCCTTTTCCACAGTGCCTGGCAATGAGTTTAAAAAATCTGTGCTGTCTTTTATGTTGCTTCTTACGAATTTGGTTAATGGTCGTAGAAGAATGTCTAAAAGGTTGCTTAATCTATGAGTTTGGCAGCTAGGACCTGCAACGATAGGCCTTACTTTCAAATCGGTGACATTTGAAATATTAATTATTGTTGATGATTGTTGTATCAAACACTTCTCATTTATCTGTTTACTTTTATGAATTTTAGGTAAACAAAGAAACTTTTATGGTTTACCTAAAATTCATATATATATATATTAAACTTAAAAATATTTTTTTAAACCAAATAGCTAGAGCTTAGATATTAAGCATGAAACCTCTTCTAATAAGTGTCTTCCAAGATTGTTCAAATAAAAGCTCTGGGGTCAAAATTGGCCTGCCCCCTGGGTCATTGATTTTCCTTATATGTATATAGTAGAAACTTAAAAGACATCTTTTGAAAAGCACAAGGTGCTAGAGCTTAGATTTTAAGCACGAAACATCTTCTAATGAATATCTACTAATTGTGTTCAAATAAAAGCTCTGGAGTCAAAATGGGCACAGCCAGGAGGCGCTCATTGATTTTCCTTATATGTATGTATATAGCTGAAAGTTTAAAAATCTTTTCTTAAAAATCCCAAAGCGCTAGAGCTTAAATATTCAGCATGAAACGTCTTCTCGTGAGTGTATACCAAGTTTGTTCAAATAAAATATGATAAACAAGATCGACAAGGAAAGACGGCATTCAATGAACGCAGCCCCCACCCGACCCAGCAACAAGCGCCAGCGGCAAGGAGCCCAGGAGGACCCCAAAGAAAAACAGGACAGGGCACAAGGCAGAGTACGGGCAGGCAAACCACTACATCAGAATACATAATAAGTAACTTATAAGGAAATAAAACAAAACAAATAAATGATTTAATATAAGGCCCATAATGTCAAAAGGCACATGGGAAGGGGACATGAGACACGGGGAAGGGGGTGGGAATAAATTAAATAAAAACTAGGGACAAAGGGAAGACACTTACCGTAGACGAGAAACAACAAGAGACACGAGCAAAAGTGTCACCAAAACAGTATAAAACAACAAAGACATACATCTGAGGAACACAGAGGGGCGCCGCCTTGGAACGGTCAGCAGCATAATAATGACTACTGGGGAGTTTAAACCGGTTAATGGTGCACCAAACCTCGCTCTTAGCCCCACCATGTTCCTATAAACGAGACAGTGTAAATAAAATGAATCCCCGCCAAGTGAAATTCTAACAGTTGTTATGGTTACAAAAGGTTAAATAAGTAAAACACCAAAAATGATCATGTAGAAACATATAAAAGTAAACCCAATGACCATAACAAAAGTACTCGATGTCTTAAAGGAAGACAGAGCAACAAGAAAATCACCTACAAGGGCCCGACGAAGCAAGACAGAAGACAAACATTAAGGCAATTCAGTCCCAAAGGGCTTTAAGAACTGTCCATCATATAGTCTCCCACTTGGCCCGTCAGATGTAATCAAAAGAGGAAAGCGTAGTGTCCAACTGTAAATGGGTTGAACACTAAGCATGCGGTATGTCTTAAAATAGTAGGGTCATAACCCCTTTTAATAAAACGTTTTATAATTTTAGTAAACACAACAGAAAAATTACAATGACCCAAGATCTTACGAAGTTTGTAAACAACATCACCGTAAAAATCAGGCTGGCTAATCCCTTGTCGCAGAAGTGTTTTTAGATCACTATTGAATTTTGAAAATTAAATCAAAGTTACGATTGTAGAATTTTGTAAAATATTTACGTAATTTATAATAGCGGTAGCCCTTTTTAGAAGCTTACCGGTAATGAAAATATTTCGCTCGTTAAAATCCTTTACGTTGCTACAAGCTCTAGCAAATCTAATTAACTGAGATATATAAACCCCGTAAGATGTTGCGTGCGGTACGTCTCCATCCAAATGAGGATAATTTACTATACTAAAATCAAAGTCATCTCTTTTATCATAAATTTTCGTGTGAATCGAATTGTTTTTTGATAGTGATATGAAGATCCAAAAATGATGTAGTTAAATTTCAAGAATTCGTTTTATAAGTTGTAGCTCCGTAGGATAAATATTAGACACACCATTTGATCAAAAAAAGAATTGTCTAAATTAAAAATGTCATCAAGATATCTGGAAGTGTTATTAAATGCTGATATAACATCTTGTTGTGTATTTTCAGAGAGACTTAACATAAAATCTCTTTCATAGCAATACAAAAACAAATCGGCGACCAGGGGTGCACAATTAGTACCCATAGGAATTCCTATGATTTGTTTGAAGCCATGGGGCCAATATAAGCCCTGTCCGGGGTGGTCATTGTTTTTCCTTGAAAATATTCTACAAGGAATGCTGATAAAATCTCATTATAATACACGTTGACATTCAAGAGATATTTAAACAGTCCACAAAGTTTTGTATAACCCCTCGTATCTTCTTTTAAAAAACCAATAGAGCTAGAACTTAGATATTAAGCATGTAATATCTAGTGATTGTCTACCTAGTTTGTTCCAATACAAGCCCTGGGGATAAAATTTGCCCCCTGGGGGTCATTTATTTTCCTTATATGTACACATCCTTTGGAACTGTTGTTTTCCTTTAGCAATGGCAACCAGTAATGTTTTTACACTTGCACTATTTCAGACACATATATGAACTTTGTGATATCAGTTTAAGATTTAAATTTTATATCTGCTTTTGTTTGTAGTTTACAATATTACTTGTTTCTTGTCATTGACAGTTCTCTATTCAAGTGAGCGATTTCATGGTTGTCATGGCCCCCTTGTAAATGATTAAGCTGATTGAGCTTCTGAACCATAAATATGAGTATTTATATATGTTCAAAAAAAACAGTTGTATAAAGAATCTTTATTTCTAGGAGTTCTTTCATTGTAAAATGATCTAAATTGTTTTCAATTCTTTTAAACTAAAATGATTAAATAATTATTTTTTTTATCAATCAGTATCAACCTGTTTGCAATTATTCCAAATCATTTTTTTAATTTATACAAATTTACTCTATTTTTGTAGGCTTCTGAAAAGGCACTTAAGGCAGCTTGGTTTGCAAAAAATGCAAATAAGGCAAGGCAAAAAGAACATTCTCTAACAGCTATTGCTATCGGACTTGATGAGGGATCTTTGTTCGATGAGGTATGATAGATCAATGATATTGCCTTTTATAATGTGATAGTTTATGTCTATAGAGAGACATTTATTGCCGAACCCAACCAAAAATAAATTTATAAATATTTCTAGCTCAAATTATTTGATGAAAAATATTAGCACTATTTTACGTTGCTGTTGCCAATGCAGTTGTTGTCGGACTTTCATGTTGGTCATATTTTTTGAAGATTGTTTTGAAGAAAAAAAGAGGTATTGTTACAGTCATGGGGTTGTTGCCGTTGTCGTTACTGTTCGCGAACTTTATTATAACTTTTAAAGTTTTTCGTGTATTGTTTTCATACTTGGCCAAACCAACCGTTATTGAAATTTTTGAATAAATTGTCAAACTAACAACACAACACTGTTTAAGATTAGACCTTAATATTTAGCAGACAGACCTTGACTTTCACTCATTAATGACTGTGTATGTCATATTATTTAAATTTTCTTGTGACCAAACGGACACGTTGAATAATTTAGATATGACCTTGACCTTTAAATAACCTAGACCGTCATGTACAAATGATTGAATTTTGCTTTTTTTAATGTTTTGTTTTTTACTGTTTGCGTAGGCACAAAATTTGGAAAGCCTGACAGGAAATTACTCATATTTGCGATATCCTGATGCTGTTGCTGGATGTACTCGGATACCTGCAGAATTATTTGGATCTGATAAGGCCACGAATGCTATTGACATTACAAAGCGCATACTCGACATGACATCAGACATCATTCATTAATTATCTTTACCTTAACATTCTGTTGTGAAAACACATTTTTTGATGTTTGTTCTTTTCCTTTCAATTACGAGCTATGCAGCTAATGTGTTTGTACAAGTTATTTTGTTTTGTTTAAATGACATTATTGTTTTATCAAACAAATGTGTATGTGTTATCATATTAAAATAACTGTCATTGACCTATGAGAGATGTGCATGAATTTAATGTACGAAAGGAAATACACATATATATATACATGGTTCCAAAGGCTTTGTATAGTTATGAAGTAACATTTATGTTTAATCATTTTAAAATTGTCATGTGACCTTTGCAGGGTTGGTAAATGAAAAAAAGAAAAAAAAGAAAAAAAAAAAGTTAATTTTATGTTGAAATTTTACTTATATAAATAACATTTATATTTTGTTTTTGCATCAAATTTATTTATGCATTTTCTTCGCACATTGGTGTATATACATACATGTATTTTCTTTGTACAATTAGAAAACATTTTTCATTTCAACTGCTATTTCTATTATATTTATGTTGTATTTGTTTTTTTTTATTTACTTGAAAGCTTTTGTTTTTATCATAAGATATTTAAGTCAAGCATGCTTATTTGTATGAAGCATATATATGATAAAAAGGTCATGTAAGCATTTACTATTGATAAGATTCAAACAGTTGAATTATTTATTTAATATGTTTTAGTATTGTGCAAAAGGAAAATTATCCTATATTTCTTGTATCTATATTTGTTAATGTTTCACTATAACTATACATGCCTCCATGACTTGATATGATTTAAATGTTTCTGATTTTGATTAATTTTATTTGCTGCTATTCAACTATGAGTGCCCCACAGAAAATGAGATGCTGCTTTTTTACATTTTAAGTTGTGTAAATTAGTTTTTTTTTGTGTGTGTAAATATGTCAAGTGGGGATAATTTGATATATTTTTGTGATATTTTGTTAAGTTCTTTTGTTATGTTTGAGTGTAATAAAAGACGGTTATTACATTATGGGTGAGTTTAATGTTTTAAAGGAGTAAAGATAAATGTACATAATTGCACTCAAAGTAATGTAATTTTTGTTTTGTGATATACGGCTGTGTTTTAAAGCATAATATGCCTGTATGATTCTAGCCATGTGACATAGAGTCTGCATAGTCATTTTAAAGTAATGCACGGATTTAAAAAAAACCTTCTGCCTTTATACTAGATTGATGGTAATGATAAAACCATTCAAAATTTGTATATGCATGCATGATTTACTTTTTAAGGTTTTTTTGTTTCACGATGATTTTATACATGTAATGTATTAATCCTTCATTGTCTTTTCATTCAAGAACAAAGAATTTTGTTTTTAGCCACTTTTTGATAATGTCTTTTTGATTACTTTTCATAATGTTAAAGTTTTAAACTACCCTTTTGTAAATAGATTGTATTTTGTATTTTTAGCTTGAATTTTCAAAAACTATCGACACCGGACTTTGGTGTTTGCGTCTGCATCGGCATTGGTCAGGTTCTTTTGACCACTCCACTTTTCTTGTAGAATAGGTCATTGACAAAATAAACAACATAGAATCCTACAATTCTGAACTTTTTTTCCACTTTTTACGACTTCCTTTTAAATGAGTTTTTTTTATGAACTAACTCCCTATGTATGACAATACTGTCGGGTCTTTGCATAACATAACTATTCAATTTGGTTTTGAATTTTTTAAAGACCTTCTCTTTTCATGCTATCAGACACTGAAAGAAGTCCTGAAGACTGCTCTTGAAAAAATATGCCCAAACTTAGTATACTACAGGAGTGTAGTATTTTATCATCATTTTAGTATGTACCAAATATTATGTTTATTGTTAAATTTTAATGCAAATATTTAAAACTAATACAGACTAGGACTTATAAAAATATTAGCTTACAATGTTTTAACGAAAGACTGATTTTTTTGTATATACATGTATATATATCATCAAGCTTGTCGACAATCTTTTCTTTATAGAAGACACTTAATAGCCTTAAGGCAATAAGTGAGTATAGGCTAAGTTACAGTATTAATCTTTTGTATGGCCCTTTAAGAATAATTTGCTGAAATTATTTTTCATCATTATGATTATCATTCTTTTTCGAGGGATATACTTTATTATTGAAAAGGCGAGCCCTTTAACGGTTTTCTTGTTTGGTCATTTTTGGAAGGAACTCTTTCACACTTTAAATAGTTATTTTAATCATTTTGATTATTATTATAACATTTTAAACAATTTTTTTATACTTTATTACTGCATTTTGTATTAAGGGTGAACCCTTAAATTCATCGAAATGTATATGTTGATGAAAAAATATTTGCATCTTATACTTAATATTTTTCTATACATATATATATATTTCAAGGGATATACTTTATTATTGTAAAGGCGAGCCCTTTAACGGTTTACTAAATGTCTGGTTATTTTCAGATGGAACTCTTTAAATAGTCCGGTATTTAAAGCTTTAAAATTAAGTTCAAGGGATACACTTTTATTGTTAAGTTTTATTATTATCATGACAAGGGATACACTTTTTTATAACATTATATAATAAGGGCGAGCCCTCTAATTCATTGAAATATAATCTAATAATTTATAATTTTCTACACATATTTTTCGAGGGATATACTTTATACTTGTAAAGGCGAGCCCTTTAACAATTTACATTTTTTGTCATTTTCATAAAGAACATTTTTAATTTTAACACTTTGATTTAAATTTAATTTCAAGGGATACACTTTATTTTCTAAAGGCGAGCCCTTTCCACACTTAATCAAACTAATTATTTGGTCTTTATAAATGTTTTGAAAATTTTGTTGTACATAATTTCTACTAATAAATTTGGAATACTGAACCTTACGTTAGTTTCTTTTCATTTGACTGTATAATAAAATCCACTGTTTTAAAAAAATAAATTTGTATTAAATTTGTAAAACAGTATTTGCTTTGAATTGCAAAGTATTCGCAATTAAGTCTTAAGTTAAAGCTCACAATGTATCAATTGAAATCCAAGAATATGTTTTTGGCAACGCCTGATAGGGTTTCGTCTCCTTAGGAAGTTATGGTCACCAAAGTGCATTGTAATAGCATGTTACGATCCAATAATATGACACAGTTAAGCCGAGTTTTCAGCAGTCATTTTTGTACGGATTATTTATCAAAAATAATCAACTGGATTTCAGCGAAAACTCATACGAATCGTTGCAGGCAATAGAAACTGTGCATATTAGCAGAATTTTCCTGTTCATTGATGCTCCGTAGCCTTTTGCCTTTGACAGTTTTGTCATCTTGTGTTGAAAACACAGCTCAAGAGCTATTCTGGATATTTTGATGAATATTTTCTTAATGGCAAACATTGTTTAAAATGTTCTCTTCTTGATGAAAATATTTAAAGGGTTGACAATATGCAAGAAAAATAACTATGTTAAACTACTTTTAAATTATCTCTCTTCAAAAAAAGTTAAGGTGTTGCTGGCAAATATAACGGTGTGTTTTTTAAGTTTTTTTAAGTTAGGGAAATGACAGATAGGAAGCACAAAACTCAAAGCTGCATTGATATCACCCGTCCAAAAATTCTATTCAGGAAAAACATTTGTTGTGAAATTGATTTATACATTACTAGCCATCTTCGTAATCATACCAATCACTTTGGAAGGATTTTGATTGAGTGCTGCTTTACGTTTTTGACCTCATTTGGCCAAAAGTGAGTCACAGAGACACTTAAATGTAAATTCCATGTCACATCAGTCACGTAAGAAATAAAATTTTAAATAATGGCAACCAAAGGTTATTGAACTTCGTAGAGACAAATTGCCTATGGCTGGCCTGTAGGAGACCCATATTGTTATGAGTTTGTTAGGTTAATGTCACAGTGATAGTAATTAGTTCATTAGGTCAATGTCACAGTGATAGTAATTAGTTCATTAGGTCAATGTCACAGTGATAGTAATGAGTTCATTAGGTCAATGTCACAGTGATAGTAAACTATCTTAAAACCTACTACTTCTAAACCACAGCTAAAGATGTAGCATGACGCATCACCTAGGACTTGCGGTCTTTCGCTCATTTGACCAAACATGATCTTTTTTCTTGAATTGAAAGACCCTGGATCAAATTAGACTTTCTCTAGTGGTCAAGAAGTCTATGTAGACTCGTATAAGAAAATACATGCAAGACTTGTTTGCCTGCAGCTTCGGTATGTTGCATCTAGCATAACCTGGAGGACCTTGCAAAGGTTATAAATTGCATACCCCGGGCGTCAGAAAATACCCTTCCTCTTAGTTAACACAAATATCTTAAACATTTGTTTCTCATTACCTTCAGTGCCCCGGGAAAAATATTTTAAATATACGCAAAACGTTCAAGTCTGCTAAACAAGAAGGCGCGAAAAGCCAAAACACTAAACATTTATTTTCTATAGTTGCTTAGGGGACAACACATAGTTTTCACAGTTTATCGGCAAACTATTGTTATCAGACACCTAAAATAAATGCATTTCATATTCTAATAAAATCATCAAGCGAAGGGCGACATTCAATGAACGCTTCCTCTTTCAAAGCCATCAACAAAGCACCATCGGCAAAGAGCCCAGCTAGGCACCAGAAGACACACTTTGTAAAGATGTATTAAACCTTACCCTAGGTCCCAACATGTTCCTGTTATATCAAACAGTCTAAATGAAATGAATTCCGCTCAGTAAACTTCTGAAAGTTATTATAAATTACAATTCATATGGTATTGACATTGTTAATGCATATATTTTGTGAAGTGGTCTGCATAAGGCAAGTTTTCCAAAAGTATTTCAAATATGGAGGAAACACTAAATAATGGTATCATTAGAATATTCATAGAAACTATTGCTTGATAGCACGAAATAATGTTGAATCTGTTCTTAATGATTTAATATGGACATTTTTATGATGGATAATGCTTTTTTGTTCTAGAAAAAAATATTATATGCTAAATAATTATATGAAATATATGATCATTTATCTCAAACATGCCAACAGCATCCATGTATAATTCTTTCATGGTTTGTCGTTATATGTGATAATGATTATTATCAACAACATTATAATTGTATTACAGACCTCCCATTCTTGGATATAAGAATGTTGTTTCCGTTAGATTAACCTTGCCGGAAATGTCATCTGTCATGGAAGGTGCCAGATGAGTCGCGTGCTATACAATGACGTTCATTTAGCGCATTTTATAAATATACCGCGTTAAAATGACGCAATCTCGTCGTTTTTAAGAATGAAACTGCATGCTTAGGATAGCGTCATTCCGCCGTTATATTAGTTCATACGCTGTTTTAAGAAAATAGTTACAGATGAAATGAAATAAATTTCCATGAAAAATGTTTTATATCAGACCAATACTCATGTCTGGTTTATGCTGATGAATTGGTTTAAAGGAGGACTGTAAAATTGTAAATCCACCATTTAATACACTCCTTGTTTCCGTCAGAAATATATATGACTGAAAAATTCCCTTTATTACATGCCACGTGCACGCTAATGCGGCTAGTAGATATGCGTTCGTGGGAAATTTTAGTCTTATGTTTATTTATTTTGTTTTAGCAACATTTCACTGCTTTCAGATTCTCTAACAATAATAGTTTTTCTGATGAAGAGCATGTCACCGAGTTTTAAGGAATTAAATGAACATTATCTCAAGTAAAAGTGCCATATCTGAGTATCATATTCTTTTTATTTTTATCTTTTTTTATTTATCTAATAAAAAAGTTGAGCCAGTCTATATACTAATGACGCGATCCAAATTTGGACAGGCAACCAGGGGTATGACTAAAATAGCAACGGAGATATTTTTGGCGCAACAGGCGCCACGGACATTGTTTTCTAAAAAAGGCACAACGTATGTTTATTCGTGATAATAATTATCATTTAAGAAATAAAAAAAGTTAAACTGAGTGAAAAAGTTAGTTTGTTTCAAAATGTATCACACATATTTACAAAGTTGTTTTGAAGGATTCTATGCTGGCAAATGGCCGCAAAATGGATATATTCTTGGTGCAACGTAGATACTTTTCTATAAAGGGAACAATGTTTGGTTATAAATAACAATTAAAAAGTAAACTAAATTACATTTATTAAATGTAGTATCAATATAAAAGTCTGTTGTTAATTTCAATAGAAAAAAAATCAATTTAATGTTTTTGAGGGCTAAACATTTCTGCAAAATGGACTTATTTGGATTTCAGCGCAACAGAGATAATTTTGTTTGAAGAACACAATGAATGTTTGTAAATCACAATTATCAAACTAAAAATATTTTATATATTGAATATAATGTCATAATGGAAGAATTAATACCGTGGAGTCATAACATTATGTCTCCCCTATACGTAGACAAATGACCTTCACACACTTGTCAGAATAGTGACTCCTGTAGAATAAAGACCCCCAACCTAAACTATAAAAATCCCTTACTGGTCACTTTCAAAAATACACTGTCAATATGTCACTTGTCTTTGCGTGCGTCCGTGCAACAATTTGATCAAATCTTTTCCCTGATATTGGACGGACTTGTTTAAAACTCTCGGGGATAGATATTATAACCGAAAGCTATTAAGCCTAGCCTCAGTCTGAAGGAAAATATAGATAGATTTGATATATACATAAAGAGTTATAGAATTGTCTAAAAACATGAATCTTAATGGTCACAAAATATAAAGGACATAAAACAAAGTCCTTTTCCATGCCTCAATCGCCTTTAAATGAAATAGCTTAAATGCGACCATGAGCCACTTTTCATTAAAATTTCGGACCAGTTCGCCGTTTCCAGTTTCCGAATACTACATAACACTGCACACATGGTATACATATAAAGCTTATATACCCTCTTAATGAGGATGAAGGGAAAAACTTCCAAATATCAACAACAACAAAATCACCCGAAGGCAGTTTACCTGCATTTTAAAAGATGCGTTATGTTACCGCAATTCGAAGAACAGTGTATTAAGGTATTTTGCCAGACCGACGTTTAATAATTGAAAAATTAAAAATATATATTTTATATAAAACAATGATAGTATTCATAAACAGAGAGAATTTTCCTACATTTTGTGCGACTCAGATATTTTCTTTTTCTTTAAATAGCAAATGGCTTTCTGTACACGTTATGACACATTGAAGTATCTGGAGTAAAAAGGCTTATTTGCTTAGGGCATTAATTTCAAAAACAACATTCGAGAGCCCTTAACATAGAAATAAAAGTAACCTGAGTGTCTTGTAAGGTGGAAATGTCATTATCACGGACGTAAAATGGTTTTAAATGTGTGTGATTCTTCCAAGTTAAGAGAAGTACCATAGACGATTTATTGATGGAAAACTACTCACGACTTAAGCAGTTTTTTTTCGGGGGTGGGGGGTGGGGGTTGGCAAAATGAAAAAGTTCTTTAAAACTAGCCTTGATAGAATATCAACGTCATTCGAACTGTATTTTTTGTGTTCATTTCCTCTTTTAACAATATGTGTTCATGCATTAAGAGTTTCACAAATGTTAATTCTTTGCTTATTTGAATTGCAGCTTTGCAGGTTTGTATCTACACATAATGCATTTCTAAAAATTATGTCATCGCTAAGTATCAGTCATTAATCACCTTTAGCTGACTTGCATTATGCTGAATACAAACATATCAGTGTAAAAGTACATGTTCTCAAATAGCATTGTGTTAATGAAATATATCATTCATTAAATTAAAAGTAACTAAGAACAACAACTAAATATTTGATCGAACTGCTTTTCCGGGGAAACGAATGCTATATCACTGCGCAATTACGCACTTAGCATATTTAATTGACTAAGTGTGCAGCTCGTAAAAAGTCAGGTGATAGATGTATGCTTTATATGTTACTTTTAGTACTAAAATTAAAATACTTGGTTTAAACATATTTATTTAAGCTCGATTGTGAAACAAGTTCTTGCAACTTATATTAATTACTTTCGAGTCCGCTTCCTGGAATCAACCAGTACTGGTGTCGTATTGAGAAACATGGTCTTGACCCGAGTAGGGCTCGAACCCATGATCTCTGGGTTGAGAGGCAGATACAGTCCTTAACAACTAGGCCACCGCCCCCTTAAAGTACTAAAAGTAAAGTGATAAAGAACTGAGGTTTTTTTCTCAGTAAAAATACCTAATTACCTATAAAACAATGAAGGCCTATATAGCTGATTTGTATAAATGATGGCAAAGTATATAGATATATATAAAATAAATAAATAAAAATAAGATAGTCTCCTCTGGGCTTTGAACTCACACCTTACCCAAACTATGTGTTCTCACTAAAAATGTAGGAGAATTTGCATTAAGCCTTTAATACTTTATTTCATTTTTATAAAATGTACGCTTATTCTTAGCGGGACCTCTAAGTTTTGCCGTTGTTTTATTAGCTGTTGTCGCAGCAGTAGCAGTACCAGAAGCAGCCACAGGCACAACAACAAGTATATGAATTGCAATGTGTCGTTGACGTTAAAGAGTATGTTAGGTGGGGGTCAATATTTTACAGATAAAATAGGGGGTCATTATTTTATATACATTTATAAGTGGTCAGTATTTTATAGAAGGTGGTCACTATTGTCTATAAAATAATGACCGGGGGTCATTATTCTATGGGGGTTACTTTACAGCGTTACACCGGCTAAATGGACATATGCGACAAATTCAACGTTAAATAGCGTCACAAGTTTCATTCGAGTATGTAAAATCTTGCTACTTTATCTATAAAAATACGAAAGGGCGACACATGACTTAGAACAAATCTTGCATGTCATCAGGTGTCTTTTAACTGGCCCAGAAAGGACACCGTTATCCCATTATAAATTTTGAGGTGCATTACATTACTGTTTTAATTTACTTACATTTGTGCCGCGTCACGACAAAACCAACATAATGTGTTAGCGACCAGCATGGATCCAGACCAGCCTGCGCATCCGCGCAGTCTGATCAGGATCCATGCTGTTCGCTTACAGACCCTATAACAAGTAAACAAACCGATAGCGAACAGCATGGATCCTGATCAGACTGCGCGGATGCGCAGGCTGGTCTGGATCCATGCTGGTCGCAAACCCATCATGTTGGTTTTGTCGTGACGCGGCTCATTTTATATTTTTGTGAAGTTTTCGTTTTTGGCCGTTACACTTTCCGGGTTCCCATGATTCGCGTGTGGATATTGGTTCATGGCCATTTTCCTAAAACAAATCCCGATTATGGGTGGTTGACTTATACTGTGGATGGGGTTTCGTTTACACAAAAAGTAAACGGGATATTTTTGTCTGCGTGGGAATATCTATTTATTTTTTTGTTTTGATATGCTGTTTTATTCATTGAAAGTACATTAACATGTGATAAACATTTCTGCTACTTTTTTGTCATGGTTCACTGGTAGGCGTTTTCTTAACTATGGAAAGCCGTTTGCACCGTTATAAAGCTGTTTACGGCGTTAGTTAGGAAAGTTGTCAATTAATAAAGCAGTATATGATTTAAATAAATTCAAGGTTGAAAGCAACATTTGAAGAATTGTTGATACAGATTATAAGCAATATTTCTGATGTAAAGCTACAAGTTAATTTTGACATTTAGTGAAAGAAAATAAAGATAAACATTTTTGTGTGTGTGAGCTGTATAGAACATACACTTATTTTGATGTATAAGTAATATTTCATGTTTAACTATTGATCATTTCATATTTAACTCGGTTAATTAAAAGTTAACTCAACTAAGACGTCCTCTATTGTGTTGTGTTATTAATATGTGTAGCATTACAGAAAAATTTATTGTATTCTTATAAATAAAAAAATGATGAAATATGCGTATTTTCATTTTCCATATTTTCACTGTACACATTTATTTTTCACTGCAGTGAAACTTATTTTCCGTATTTTCACTGATGTCTGGCCGGACAACTTTCTTCTGATATCAGCCTATGCACAAATTATTAGGGGACGTCTGTCTAATTGTAGTGCAAAAAAGGAAAAGATATATAATAAACAGAAAAATTCAGTTTTTCACTAAAAATTCAGGATTTATTTTCATCTTGTTGTATGAGAATTAACATGCTTCACACGTTCAACCGCCATTCATGAACAATTCATATTCATACCACTCAATGAAAATAAATACCGTATTTATAGAAAAATACTTGAATATCCTCTATATATATTGATTAAAGACAGCGACGTCACATGCCTAGCAAGTGACAATATTACCTTTTGTATTTGAGCCGCGTCACGACAAAACCAACATAATGGGTTTGCGACCAGCATGGATCCAGACCAGCCTGCGCATCCGGGCAGTCTGATCAGGATCCATGCTGTTCGCTATCAGTTTCTCTACTTGTTATAGGGTTTGTAAGCCCTGATCAGACTGCGCGGATGCGCAGGCTGGTCTGGATCCATGCTGGTCGCAAACGCACTATGCTGGTTTTGTCGTAACGCGGCTCATTTTATGTTTCACATTGCCTATCATACCAAACAAATAACGCAGTAAACATAATTTAAACATACTAAAAAAAGTACGATAAGGTGTAAATCGACCCGTTTTAAAAATAGATATCGATTATAAACTCTATGAATTGACAGTTGTGCATATTGTATAACATGACGGGGTATATGTATTTTTAAAGCATTGTTAGCCGTTGATGAGGAATTATGTACAAATGTACGAATGGCTAGAGATAGAGATAATAGAGATGGAAATGCACTGTATATATTAGAAGGTAAATGAATTTCAAATTCCAGTTCTTTTAACTATCATTTTAGTGTGTATAGCGTTGTGAGGCACATATCCATGATGGCGGATATTTTTTTTCTGTGCGGCAATGTTCTGATGAAAATATATGTCGTAAATTTTGGCAAACATATCGGGAGAAGTATTAGATATTCATCTGAAATATAGGTACCATATTTTATATATGAATCAGCAAATTATTACCTTAAAATGGTATATGTTTATTATTTAAATATAAAAAAGATATAACACAAATTAGCAACACCCATAACCCAATGATAAATGAACAAATGTCACGTGATTATCACTCTGTAATCACGTGGTACGGAATAGAATTATTATTATCTTGATAACGTACAGTAAATATAACCTCCTTCCTAAAGTTATTTTATATATACCCATATAATAATATAAACATGCATCTATAATTTCACAAATAATTTCATTCATGAAAAAAAATACATAAACATTGACAATATTCTCTGCAGGCCTTGTTATGTAGTTTATACTGGCAAACGAAGGCATTCCAAACCTTTTTTCCAAGCTGACACATTTTCTAACCTAATGATCAGCTGGATTTATCTTTTTCATCATGTACAAGAATATATAATAACAATGGCCCATCAAGTTTCCATCTTCTACTCTAAATGAAAATGCTAAAAGTTAGATATTTGGCCTGAATTTGACTAACGGAGTGTTTCCAAAGTTGTTATAATCATGACCCTATAGGGTCAAAATCATTTAATGTACAAGGAAATATAAAACAAAGGCCCGGTCTGAGGGTCTTCTTCTCTAAAAGAAACAGGCTAAAATGAGATATTTGGCCTGAACGTTTTTAATCATTGCCCTAGTGTCAAAATTTGTCAAGACTCGGATTCATTTGTTTTGTATATTTATGCAAAAAGAAAATCAATTGTTATGGAAATCACTGTTGGGGCCAGTTACACAGATGGTCGGTCCCCAATCGGTCATTTAATTTTAAATTTACTCGCTGTTATGATCGGTTGTCATGCGTGATTTTATTTCTGGTTTTCTGTGTAAACGGCCATCAGTGACAGAAAGAAAATTCAAACGGGGTTGGATCGGTGATAAAAATGCTGAAATACTATCGGTTTTTATCGTTTTAAATCGGAGCTAAATCGGGCGTAACGATGATTAATCGGTGTTTGATAGCTAGTCGTCAGTGGTTAAACACTTTCCGTCAGATATGGCCGGAGATTCATATTTGGTTATCTTTGTCCGATCGGCGATATCGCTGATTAAGAGCTTGCATATCTCGTGATATAGGTTGCTGTCGGCTATTTGTAAAATATTTTCACCGATCGAGAATTTTAAACATGTTTAAAAATCTCTATCGGTATTTTTTCACCGATAAAACATATCTTTCCCCAATAGCAGTTGATAGGTAGAAAACAGGTGACCAATAGGTGATATCGGTGTTAAATACGTTGTCATCGATACACTCCATCATTTGGCTAAAAACAACCGATCAATCACCGATGGCTCTGTGTAACACCCCAGTTACACAGAGCCATCGGTGATTGATCGGTAGTTTTTTTAGCAAACAGTTGATATTGGAAAATGTTAAGGATAAAAATATAAATCTGCCTAAAATTTAAAAAGACTGCCCCACTCTTTTTATAAACTAAGCATTATACCTAAATTCTAATGGATATTTTCATAAATTTCGTTTGTATCTGTGCCTTATTTATTGTTTATGCAAACTTAATTATTATATTAAAAGGGATTATGGCAAAATGAAAACATATTTTGATCTTCACCCGTTCACTCACAATATACCATTGGATGGGCATAATGTCACATTAACCCTTTCACTGCCATAGGGACGGCTGTCCTTGTTATTTTCGGCGTATTTGCCATATGGACGGCTTTAGCCGTTTCTATAATAATAATAATAGTAATAATAATAATAAATTAATAATAATAAAAATAAAAATAATAATAAATATAAAGAAAATTATACCAACGACAATAATTATTATTATACTCACAGATTTGGAAACATATATAATTATTATAATACTAATAACAAATAATAATTATATTAATTAATAATATAGTAATTTCTTAGAAAACCCTCTGGCAAAAAGGTGATCAATAAAACAATAACCCTCTGGCAGCGAAAGGGTATATAAGATATTTAACCGTGTCGTTTTGATTAAATAAGGTCTTGAATATTTGTGATTAGATTTAGAAAATGTCTAGCCATTTAATATCTATACAAATTATGCTGTTAAACTTATTACTTTCTAAAAATGTTCTGAGTGACAAATAAATAATGTAAATCAAAGAATAGATAGAAAGAAAAATGAATACATAAGTGTATTTTTACCGACAGCAATCTGTTTCAGATGACATTTATTCAAGTGTATCGAAATACTCTTCAAAGTTAAGAAAATGCATAAAGGGGGTTATACAAATGTTGTATATAGAAAAAGGGAAATAACCTAATCACTTTTGTTATGAATAAATTGTCCTTATTAATGATTATTATTTGTGTAAGATGTTTCATGCTTTGTATGTATTAGCTATAATTATCTTTCTATAGATCTATCAAAACATTTGTTCAGGTGGAAATTAAAGTTATATTTTAGCATAGGATATACGATGATGCTATTAATATTTGCATATCCCATATATAGTTTCAATTGATCTACTCTCTACAATTAGAACAAATCCCAAAAACCGTGTCTACAACTTTTAAAAATGGCAACTTTTCCTCTCTATTAAAAAATCTAATTGAAGGACAAAAAAGAAAAAAAAAAAGAAAAAGAAAACGATAAAGAAAAAAATAGTAGACGGGTATTGTTTACAATAAAACTAACTTTTCTTTGCTTTTACAATGGGAGATGAGATTGAATTACATATTACAAAGTACATGTGTTTATGTATTCGTTCTGTTCCATTTGTAAAATTGAATGCTCTATGTTATATTTAATTATTTAATCTTTTTACGTCAAATAGAATGAGCTGTAATAAAAACAATCATTAACGACTGTCAGATACAAACTGTTGGCAGAGTCTGTTAAAATTAATAAATTAAACGAGACTTACCTGGAAGTTGAAGTTCAATTATTATTCTACTGCTACTGGACCACAGGGTTTAATGAGATGAACATATGATCTTATCAGATGACCAAGCAGACTTTCAGAGCATACATAATTATGCAAAATGCGACAATGGCTTATACATATGGGAGGGGTAACCGGGTGGGCATTAAACCCTGTGGTCCAGTAGCAGTAGAATAATAATTGAACTTCAACTTCCAGGTAAGTCTCGTTTAATTTATTAATTCTACTGCACTGGACCACCTAGGGTTAATGAGATTTTAGAGACCATGCTTGCATTTTGACAAGTCGTTAAAAATACATAACCAAGTAAAATGATTACGTATTCAATCTACGACTATTAACTTTTCAAAAACTGAAAATATAATGCACAAAATAAAGTATGCAATAGCCATATACATAAAATGCTGTAAAAGTAACAATCATTATAAAAGAATACTATTCCCTATTTCTACTGTGTGGAAAAGGTCATTATATGAGGCTTGACCCCTGCTGCAATATGTTACATTGCATAATTTATATTGCTTATTGTAAACAAGTTTGACATTAAATGGTATACACATATGCGTGTAGCATAAAATTCTTTCACATGTAGTGATATTCGAAGTTTTCTATGGTTTAAAAGCAACACATTGCTGTGCTTTTAATTATAATTTCTTTAGGCATGATTTATGATATCTTGCAAAATAAGTGTCAGTGTTTTGAAATTACTGATCTGCCCATTAAGCCTTAACCTGCCATTATTCGTTTATATTATTTACATTCCTTTTTTTTTTTTTTTTTTCTCACATTCTGTACTATATTTACTTCAGATTAAAGTTAGATTATAAGTAAATCACATGTTTTTAATGCATTATGACAACAGTATAAAATGCATTTTCCTCCTTTTTTAATGGAAATCACATGTGATTATTTCTGAGGCTTAATCTGTTTCTTTAAAAGAAAGAGGTATCACGGGTTTCCATCACAAATATCTAATAAAGATTAGAATACCATAAAAACCACATATGATTTGTCATGTTTGTGTGTGTGTGTGTGTAAAAAAACAAAAACCCTTTCAAACATCTCTCTCGCAATTATATAATGCGAAAGACGTATATATGTGAAGAACTCACATTACATGTTTTCTGTATGTGAGAAGTTAGCAGTTAACAGTGAGCTAAGCAAAAAGGCATTACGATTTATATAGGGAAATCAATGATCTGCTGTTATGCTCAGCTGGGTAAGCAATCTAGCAGAGCATTCCAAAATAAAGTGTAGAAATGCTTTGCTGGTATGCTCAGCTGGCTAAGCAATCTAGCAGGCCATTCCTAAATATAGTGTAAAAATGCTCTGCTGGTATGCTCAGCTGGCTAGGCAATCTAGCGGGGCATTCCAAAATATAGCGTAAAAATACTCTGCTGGTATGCTCAGCTGGCTAAGCAATCTAGCGGGGCATTCCAAAATATAGTGCAAAAAATGCTCTCCTGGTATGCTCAGCTGGCTGAGCAATCAAGCGGGGCATTCCAACATATAGTGTACAAAATGATCTGCTGGTATGCTCAGCTGGCTAGGCAATCTAGCAGGGCATTCCTAAATATAGTGTAAAAAATACTCTGCTGTTATACTCAGCTGGCTAAGCAATCTAACAGGGCATTCCAAAATATAATGTAAAAATGATCTGCTGTTATGCTCAGCTGGCTAAGCAATCAAGCGGGGCATTCCAAAATATAGTGTAAAAATGCTCTGCTGTTATGCTTATCTGGCTAAGTAATCTAGCAGGGCATTCCAAAATATAGTGTAAAAATGATCTGCTGTTATGCTCAGCTGGCTAAGCAATCTAGCGGGACATTCCAAAATATAGTGTTAACATGATCTGCTGGTATGCTCAGCTGGCTAGGCAATCTAGCAGGACATTCC